CAAAATCCCTCCTGAGATGTGTGCAAACCTGGTGGCCAACTACAAGAAACGTCTGACCTCTGTGATTGCCAACAAGGGTTTTGCCACCAAGTACTAAGTCATGTTCTGCAGAGGGGTCAAATACTTATTTCCCTCATTAAAATGCAAATCAATTTATAACATTTTTGACATGCGTTTTTCTAGATTTTTTTGTTGTTATTCTGTCTCTCACTGTTCAAATAAACCTACCATTAAAATTATAGACTGATCATTTCTTTGTCAGTGGGCAAACGTACAAAATCAGCAGGGGATCAAATACTTTTTTCCCCTCACTGTAGTTGGGGACTAAATTCTACACTCTAGAAGCAACCGGAATTTTGTGCATTCATTAAAGAGCAGATCAATATTTTTACTTTGACAAACAAACCCTCCGCTCCTGACAGTTTCATTCTTTGGGACGCATTGAAAGCCTATTTGAGGGGACAGACATTGCCTATACTAAAGGATTGAAGAGAAAACACGGTGCCAAACTGAATGTCCTTGAATCTGAAATCTCTGAGCTAGAGAAAACCTACCAAAGAGGCCAGACTAAAGACCTATACAGGCTTTTGGTAAACAAAAAACTGAAATATAATACTCTGAACACGTATCAAGCTGAGAGGGCCATCACCTAAATCAAAACAGCGTTACTATGAGCTTGGAGAGAAAGCACACAAAGTATTGGCATGGCAACTGAAAGCAGTGGAAAGTAAGAAGACAATTAATGCTATAGAAACTCTTACTAACGAGATATCTTTTGACCATACTGAAATTAATGATACTTGTAAGAAATATTACGAGGACCTCTACACTTCCCAATCAAGCAATGATCTATCAGAGATCGACTCTTTTCTCTCCTCTCTCAACCTCCCATGCCTGTCAGAGGAAGACAGAGAGCGCCTGAGTGAACAGTTCCCAGTCCCTGAATTATTGGAGGCCATTAAATCCTTACCTTCTAATAAATCTCCTGGGGAGGATGGCTTCCCTCCAGAGTTCTATAAAGAATTTAAGGAGCTGTTGGTACCCTACCCCATGGAGGTACTTAAAAAAGCCGGGGAGGACAACTGCTTTCCAGAGTCTTTCTATCAAGCGGTGATTACAGTAATTCACAAGAAAGGGAAAAACACGCTAAAATGCGCCTCCTATAGACCAATCTCTCTCCTTATACGGATCGTAAACTGGTCACCAAGATGCTATCTAAGAGACTGGAGTCATGTTGGTCAACCCAGATCAGACTGGCTTCATAATTAATAGATTGTCCTCCAATAATCTCAGAAGGTTCTTTGATATAATTCACCTTGCTAACAAAAACAAAATACCTAGTGTCGCAGTCTCCCTCAATGCCGAAAAGGCCTTTGATAGGGTCGAATGGCCATACCTCTTTCGCGTCTTGGAAAAGTTTGGTTTAGGCACAGTGTATGTAAATTTGATAAAGTCACTCTACAAATCTCCTAAAGCTACGATTGCTACCAATTGGATTACTTCCTCCTCTTTCCCTCTCTATAGGGGGAATAGACAAGGTTGCCCAATTAGCCCCCACGTCTTCGCCGTCGCCATCGAACCGTTAGCTGAACGTGCCATGACAAACATGGCTTTGAGTTGGGCCCCCATACCCATAAGTTATCACTTTTTGTGGATGACCTTATCGTATTTCTAACGAACCCAGAACATTCTCTCTCTCACTTACAGAACCTATTACAGTATTATAGTTATTTCTCTGGATGTAAGGTCAATTTTGATAAAAGCGAAATCTTACCGTTGTCTGTCTTTGACCATCATACCATCAAGCAAAAGTTTCCTTTTAGATGGTCGCCTAAGGGCTTCACATATTTGGGCATAATGGTGGATGGTAACCTGAACAACCTCTATAAACTCAATCTGGCCAGCTTGTTGCAAAAGGTAGGGTGACCTGTGTAAATGGATGGACTTGCCTCACTATGCTTGGTAGAATTAATGTAGTTAAAATCAACGTCCTGCCCAGATTTCTATATTTGTTTCAATCTCTCCCCATCCCTGTGCCCGCAGCATTCTTTTCCTCTCTCGACAAGCTGACCAGACGGTTTATCTGGCACGGCAAAACCCCTAGGGTTAGCCTGGACAAACTGACCCTTGATTACGGTCAAGGGGGCTTAAACCTCCCCAATTTCAGAATGTATCACTGGGCTCAGAGGTTTGATAATGGTCCTTCTCCCTCATGGTTAAACATGGAAAAGTTTGAGGTACATGAGGACACTGGGGCAGAATTGTTTTACAAATGTGACATGAAATCTATAAAAACTATCACAGACAACCCTTTAATTATACATTCTGTCCTGGCATGGTGCAAACTGCATGAGCTGTTCAGACGAGAGGGATATCTTTCCCCTAAAATCCCTCTATGGAACAATAGATTGATCCCTGTTTTTCCAGAATAGTAACTTTAGCCCATGGTCTGATAAGGGTATCACTTTCTGGAACATTGTTATGATGAGGGAATTCTTATGTCCTTTGAACAGCTGAAACAGAAATACCACTTGTCTAACAAGGACTTCTTTAGTTAACTACAACATTTTATTAGGGTGAATCTCAAAGGCCAATGGAACCTACCTAAGATGTCACCTATTGAACAACTCTGCCATGCAGACCAACCACTGTTCAAGACCATTTCCTGTGTTTACAATGCTCTTATGTCAGGACCTGAGCTAGATAAACCTAGTCTTAGATGGGGAAAATATCTGGGTATTAATCTTGATGAGGGACTATGGAGTGACCTATGCAGGGATGGAGTTACTTCCACATTGAACTCCAGATACAGACTGATCCTGTTTAATTTCCTCCATAAGCTCTATATCACCCCATCTAGATTGCACAAGTTGAATCCTGATATCTCCTCCCTATGTTTTAGATGTGGCTCAGATGAAGGAACATTCCTCCATTCCCCTTGGCAGTGTTCAAAACTACACCGTTTCTGGCATATCCTCAATTCATGGGGCTGCATTCCCTTTAGACCCGGAGGTCTGTCTACTGGGTAACTTTACTAAGTCCAATCTTAGGCAAAGTCATACTATAAAGCTAAGAGAAATATTGCTAGCGATTTCCAAGAAATGTATTGCCTTGAAATGGAAATCGGATTCCCCCTGCCAGTTGCAATGTGGATATCAGAAGTTTATATTTGTATCCCACTGGAGATAATTACTTACTGCTTGAGGAATAAATTGGAGACATTTTACAGAATGTGGCAACCTTTTATTGATTATATGGAGAATCTCCCCTCACATCGATTGCATCTCTATATAATCCTCTCATAATGTTTCACACGTAATGTATAATATGTAGCCTACGGCAGGTGACCATATGATCCAAGGTCTCATTCTTTTTTAAATATATTTGTTGATATTTTTTTATTGCATTTACATTCTTGTCTATTGTCTTGTAAGGTTATTGTCACTGTTATATTGTTGTCTCATTTTTGTCTTGAATGTTCTTAAACTGGAAAATGCTCAAATAAAATACCTCAGAGTTGTGGTAACAAGAAGAGGCAACACTACAAATGTATTCCATAATTTGAATTTAAAAAACATCCCACAGACCCATAGAAATCACAGAGGCAATCACCTATCACAAAGACACGGTTCCTATTTACACAGTCAGCAAAGACTACTTCAAGAAGATGATAAACAAGCTGGTCAGGAGATACAGTCCATCTCGCACATATATTTCTCCCAAGTCGCCATCCCAACACTGTATAACAAACTTAAGGGAGAAGTTGAAACATTGAATGTTGCGTTGAATGACTGGACCAGACTCCAATGTTTTGGACACAGGCTGCACCTTGTAATAATAGGTAGGCTACGTGTTACATGTTTTTAAGGCATGGACTTAGCATTTCATTTATAATAATGATTGAGCCTACTTATACATAATTACACAATCATAAGCCTCCTATTCTATCTGCAGCCTATGGCTGCCTGAATAAATAATGAACTTAGTTTAAGAACACATAGGTCTAATGGTAAAATAGGAACTAATGTTATTCATGAATGAATGAATAAGTGCTGCGCTTATAGCACATTTTATATTTGATGATCATGTTAAAAATGTTTGTTAATATGTAGGTGTAATAATCCTATATATTATTATATGTAACCTATAACAATGTTGGAAAATATTTTCCATTTGGTTTTGTATTCAGTTAGCTGCAGTACGTATACATTCATTTGATCTCATTTTATAAGTGATGTTCTATACCCTGACAGTTGTTTTAACCATGTCTGATGGAATTACCAAGTTTTCACCCAAGTGTTGAAAATTGCAATTCATAATTGCAATTCCAATATCTGGCCCCCCCAAAAAATAAAATGCTATTAGATATTTTACCCAAATCGTGCAGCCATAACGCTAGCTATCTGACCGATCAGTGACAACACCCAGCCTTTTACCTCAGAGTTGTGCACTCATTTTTGTCATGACGTTGTCAACACAGTCTATACACAAGCACAATTACCACCATCACCACTGAAGAAGCCAACATTACCTTGAAGCCATTCTGCTCAGCAAATGCGGTGATGGTCCCTCTCCTCGCTCTAGTGGTGTTAGTGGCATCAAACACCTGGAGAAAGAACAGAACAGACCATCACTCACAGTTCACACATAGACTGACAGAACCACTGCACTCTAATCCATATACAAATACACAATGGGATATCACAGCATTTCATGATGGGATAATCCCATCCCAATGTTAAAGGGCAACTCCACCACTTTTCAACCTCATTTTCATTATTTACATCACAATACCAGTGTCAACATGTGTGAAAAACATGCATTTCTATCACAGATCATAGAAACACACCATTTCCACATATGTAGACACTGGTATGGTGCTGGAAATAATGAATACGAGGTTGAAAAGTGGCAGAATTGACCTTTAATGTGCACATAATCCGGCCACATTGGAGATTTTCAATTATGATATTTGGCTTTAAAGTGATTGTACACACCGCAACTTGGCCTCCTTCGTCAGCGAGGTACTGTCTGACATCATTCAGTGCTGCTGATGCACACTGCCTGCAAGGGACAGTGGGAAAACTGAGTCAGAGGCAGCAATGACAAGACTACAAGAGCAACTGGTGGGTTAGTAGAGACAAAGAAATGTAGTTTGCTTAAACACAGACACTGGTTAAAAACAGGTAGTAATATCATATAATATCATGATATTGATAGGCAATTTGGGGGATTCAAGGTCAAGTGGATCTGCTCAGTGTTTTCACTTGTTCACAGCAGAGGATCAAAGCACTGTAAATGTTTCTTACTGTCTGATCTTCAGGCCCTCCTCGTTGTCTGGGCGGAAGAACTCAAAGGACTTGTAGATCTTCACACACTCACGCCGGTACTGTCCAACATTGAACTCTAAATGGGGGAAAGAAAGAGTTGCATGCTTTACTTTTCTATATACTATTACTGACTGTTCGGGGGCATTCTTGCGAGTTTCAGTGTGTGTGAGTGGATAGCCGAAATGTAATTTCAGGTATAAGGGCTGAGAGTTGGTACCTCTGGTGGGAACGCCGATCCAGTTGAGATAGCGGGTGAGCTTCTTGGAGATGTAGGTCTTCCCTCTGGCTGGGAGGCCCACCGTCACTATCAGGGTGGGGCAGTTGGTCATACATACTGCACATGGAAAAGAGTAGAGGGGAAGAGGGAGAGATGGGTTAAATTATTCTACTATATTTTGACAGAGACTGACATTGAAATATAAACGAACACAGTGCAGGCTATAGCAGTGAAGGGCTCTGATGACAATTTTTTTTATTAAAATTGTCCTAAATGACCCTTTGGAGTTAATTCCCAAGTGAACTTCAATCCCTCATCTGACCTGCCCTCTGTAACTCACACTAACTATTGAGCCAAGTGAAAGAGAGCAGTTTGCAAAGATGGCAGCATTGTGTTGAAATCGAATAAGGACAACATATTCCCCCAATCACTGTGACGCCCAATGTTTTCTAACATGAAGAAATAAAACCATATCACAAAGTATTAGAAATGTTGTCAATAAGGAGTAGAGGTCCCAAATGTCACAAGTGCCACCATGGCATGCTATTGTGAAATGACTGTCAGTACAAGCCAAGGCATCTGTAGACTTGTAACCTATTTTCCACACATTGGTTCGGTCTGTACAGAGGACTGGGGGAGAGAGGAGCCAGTGTCTTGGCTTGATATCATATCCCTTTGGTGAAAAAGATACTCCAGCGGTGTTAATACAACAAGTCAATGCCAGGAACAAATGTCAAAGTTGCCTATATGTTTGTGAGTTTCAAACAAAAAAGCCTGTGCAGCAAGCCAGCAACTGATCAGGTTATGTATTGCAAACCATGGTGATATTCTATGACTGACCAAGACAGTAAAACCTGAAGTAGTCGTAGAGATCTCTCCTGAGAGAAATGTAGAATGCAAAATACTATTGTTATAGCAGCTTATTATGACCAGGAATGTAGACTATGGTGTGGCTGGTCTACCCACAGAACAAATCATACTAATACAAATATTACCGAACAGGGTAATACAGGGTTAGAGAAGCAGATCCACAAAATAAAATCAAATGTATTGGTCACATACACGTGTTTAGCAGATGTTATTGCGGGTGTAGCGAAATGCTTGTGTTTCTAGTTCCAACAGTGCAGAAATATCTAACAATTTAATATGCCATTTAATTTTAATATTAAATTTAATTTCACAACATATACCCAATACACACAAATCTAAGTAAAGCAATGGAATTAAGAATATATAAATATATGGACGAGCAATGTCAAAGCGGCAGAGACTAAGATAGAATAGAATAGTATAGAACATATACGATGAGTAATGCAAGATATGTAAACATTATTAATTTCTAAAGAGTCCAGTGCCAGGAGTCAGGACTACAATTCATGTTTACCAACAAGTTTGGAATGATAAATGATGGGGCAGATGATTTAGGACAATGCCATCATGGATTACCATCTACTGGCCTTTTGTGAACAGTCAGTGCTGGGAGAACAGACAATAGATACTTCAATGAGCAGCGTGTCCTGAAAGTGACTTAGAATGCTCAACCGCTTGGATTGTTGTTATGGCATCTGCTTCTTTCACAAGTCAGGAGAAACGATACAATGAGATAAACACTGAGAAGCAAAGAACGTTGCTCTGGACTGGAGAGGGGCCAGTCCAATGACTGTATGAAGAGCCAGTCAGAGGGGCAGTCAGAACTGACAGTCATCAGATAACAGGCAGCCAGGATCATCAATAATCGATTGCCAAGATGACTAATGTTCTTTCTCTGGCTGACGATTACGCCGTTGATACATTTACATTTTCTCAAAAAAAAATTAAACGAAAGTTGATTACGTTACGACACAATAGATGGATAAGAACCTGGCTTGACGCTTGGCTGCACGTTTGTAATGTTAACTAGTAAGAGATACACGTAACGTTAGCTAAATATGAATAAAATGCATTTTCACCACATAAACAACGTCCATTAAAAGTAGTATTCGTGCGTGTGCAACAACCCGCTTGCTGTCTAGTCACGTCGATAACGTTATATACGCACCCTTTCTCTGAGATATGTGTTTCTCGGGAAGGCCATTTTTACACGGCAATGGCATCCAGATTTTCTTAAGCGGGTTTTGAGTGAGTTCACGCGGCGTTGCAGAGTTCGATGGTCGTTCTTCCATTCCAACTTCCATTGTGGACATAGTGGTGGCTTCGACTACTGTGGCGCGGAGCCTTTTGTTCTGTCTTTCAGGTGATTGGTCTCGCATCAGTGTTGTTCTGATGAGGTCTGGTGGTGTCGTGGTGAAACCACAGAAGGATGTGCCTACCATAATTTCGCGAAAATACGCGCACTTTTGCTCAGAAACAATGAAGTCACGCTGTTGCTGGTTTTTTTTTGTATTAATATTTTTTAGGGGGTAAATCAGCTTTAATATTGCAGATAGATTGTAACTTCCATCAATGTAATTGTCTGCATCACTTCCAATCCCCCATATGTTTTTTTTCTCGCAAATATATATATAAATATATATATATATATATATATATACATACATACACACACATACATACACATACATACATATAAATACATATACATACATATATATATATACACATTTCCTTGAAAAAAATATATATATTTCCCTTTATTACTTTCCAACCCCATCACCCCTCCCCTAATTGGAGTAAACTAGTGAACAACAACGCTATAGGCCTCTTCTTCCAGTTTATACATACTATATACATTTTATGGACACAGTCAATTTTACAATACTTCTATTTAGTTTGTTTTTACTTCCTCGCGCTGTTGCTGTTGCTGTTAATGCAATTACAATTTCCCTCAAATGTAATACTTCCAAGTGTATATTGGGCTTAATTGCCTACTAAACGACGTCATTATTCCCTTATACATCTGTAGTATCAAGCTCTCTACAAGCACCGACAATGTATCAATTCGGAGAAACTAATACGTTGTATTCTGTTTACCGTAGTAACTACACAATGCACCCTCGAATATCGAGTATTCAAGATCAAATCACTTTTTTTTTGTCTCATGCACCGAATACAAAAGCTGTAGACTTTACCCCATTCGTTGCTGCTTTTAATGTAGCAGCTACTCTTCCTGGGGTCCCTGGGGGTCAACATAAAACTTACAAATACATAATGTAAATGTAAATACCTGACAAAGTACAGAACAGTAATAGACAAGAACAACATAATATATTACTTTAAATTCAAAATAAAATAAGTTATATATAGGAAAAACACCAAGAGACAACAAAAATACTATTTACACACTATTCATATATACATATTAATATTATTATATACAGTACAGTTAAATTAGATCTTTAGAAAGAGGAGAGGCTACAATGTTTTTTTATCTGTTTTTTTAAAGCTAAACTTGCTTTTTGCCTGAGTAACCTTCTGTGAGCTTTTGTGGCCTACCACTTCGTGGCTGAGCCGTTGCTGCTCCTAGACGTTTCCACTTCACAATAACAGCACTTACAGTTGACCGAGGCAGCTCTAGCAGGGCATAAATTTGACGAACTGACTTGTTGGAAAGGTGGCATCCTATGACGGTACCACGTTGAAAGTCACTGAGCTTTTCAGTAAGGCCATTCTACTGCCAATGTTTGTCTGTGGAGATTGCATGGCGGTGTGCTCGATTTTATACACCTGTCAGCAACGGGTGTGGCTGAAATAGTTGAATCCACTAATTTCAAGGGGTGTCCAGATACTATTGTATATATAGTGTAAATAACTTTAGGCCCTGCCTTTGGTACTTTGGCTTTCCGTGTTATGGTCACTACAGCCAATGGGAACCGATATTGCTTTGGAGCAAAGCTCTGCAGCATTGGTGAAGATATGATCAATACAAGTGGATGTCACAGATCAAACACTATTGGTATACACTCTAGTTGGTTGAGTGATAACCTGGGTCATGTTGGCATTAGTCATAGTAAGAAGCTTCCTCTTGAGAGGACAACTAGATGATAACCAGTCAATGTTCAGGTCACCAAGAAAATACATTTCTCTGTTAGCATCAGAGACCTTATCTAAAATCACACACATATTCTCCAGATACTGAGAGTTTGCACTTGGTGGGCTATAGCAGCACCCTAAAAGAAGAGGCTACAGATGAGGCAGGAGAACCTGCAACCACACCACTTCTACTGTATGTGCCATGAGATCCTCTCTGAGCTTTACAGGAATATGGCTCTGAAAATACAGTATACAGCAACACCTCCCACGTAGACATTCCTGTCTTTTCTATAGATGTTATATCCTTGTATTCCTACTGCTATATAATCAAAGGTGCTGTCTAAGTGTTTCTCAGAAATGGCTAATATATTAAAATTATCTAAGATTAGAAACTACTATTCTCATGAACTTTGTTTCTGAGGCTACATATATTTATATGAGCTAACCCTTTCCTATGTAGCTTATATAAAACGGAACTTATAATGATAATAGGTTGTATTTCTATTAATTATATTTCTGATAATAAAAAACAATAGATTTTTGAGCAGATTATGTTCAGCAGATGCCTTACCTGGTTTAGCTTGGTGGCAGCAGGGTGCTCTATTCTTCTAGCCACTTCTGCATAGCTATTTTGCTGGACTGTTGGTCTCTTCTGATTGGGGTGTTGTCTGGCTGCTCTGGATGGGGCCCGATGGTGCAGGGTAGAGCAGGCCTCTCTGGATGTGGCCTGGTGGTGTAGGTTAGAGCTGGCCTCTGGATGTGGCCTGGTGGTGTAGGGTAATGCTGGACTCTCTGGAAGGGGCCCGGTGGTGTAGGATGGAGCTGACCTCTCTGGAAGTGAACCTATGGTGTAGGGTGGAGCTGGCCTCTCTGGAAGGGGCCCGATGGTGCAGGGTGGTGTTGGCCGCTCTGGATGTGACCCAATGGTGTAGAGTAGAGCTGGCCTCTCTGGATGTGGCCCGGTGGTGTAAGGTGGTGCTGGACTCTCTGGGTGGGGGCTGGTCGTCGTGATCTTGGAGGATGTTAGGCAGAGTTCCTCTTATTTGGGTTTTTGCTTTGTCCCAGAGGAGTTTCTTTCAGTTTCCTAGCAAACGCCTTGACACCCTGCTTGTTCAAGTGCACTAGGTCATAGATCACCTGGTGGTGAA